GTCACCGGCCCGATCGGGCGACATCGATTAATCGCGGCAGAAAAATATTTCCAGGTTAACTCGATTCTCTTCTTCTGCCCCGGCGACATTAACATTCGAACGATTCTGGATGACACTGATGGAGGATCGAGCGTCCGCAACCGGATATTTATGGACCGTATCGACGGCTGTTTAATCGATCGACGGATGCTTAATCGATCGTCGTCCCGTTCGTGCGATTTTTTCGCCGGTTTTTCCGCGCGAGCATCGGCGAGGCACACACACATACACACACACGCGCCGCGCCGGGGGCGTTATTGCGGCCGTGACTAATGCGCCGCGCGGAAAAAGTCGATCCGCGAGCGGATACGAGGTCGGTGTTCATATTTAATGTAAACGTGTGCCAGTTTCCTCGAGCGGCAGTCCTTCGTTTAATAATGAAAACGAGCGCATCAAGGATCCCGCATTGTTCGCTTTCCCGGGACGCGGAACAATCGGCGGATTGTTCGCCGCGGCTGCCTTTTCGGGACGAGCTTCGTGTCTCCGCGATCATGGGACACCGAGAGGCGTGCTTCTATTCGCGGATTACGCGATGCTATTTGGCAATTTTTACAGCGAATTCCAAATATAGTAAATTTTTCTTAATTTTCCATCGGCTTGTAAATAAAAATGGACCGTTCGGGAAGGGGAGATGCAATTATTCGAGCCTTGCATCTACTTTTTATAGTTGTTGACAATCGATAACTATAAGAATAAGCCGCGAGACTCGAATAATCGTTCTCCACTTCCCAAATTATCCATTTTTGTTTACAAGCCGAAGGAAAATTGGGGAGAATTTACTGTAGATTGATTTCTCTAAAAATCGTAGATAAGACTAGACGAAATTCGTATCTCCGATAATTACGCATTATTAATTGCAAACATGACGATTTTAGAGATCGAAGTATCTGCTTGATAGCACTTTGAAAATGGTACTTTGAGAATTCTAGCGATAATCCTCGATTTTTCACTAACAAGTGAGATTGTTAGCGTGGCTGATCTCTCTTAGAATCGATCGATGCATAAAATACATATCTCTGTTAATTATACATTATTAATCACAAATAAGGCGATTTTTGGTGTCGTAGAATTCGATTGTGGTACTACTTATTGACCAGAACATCAGAAACTACATTGAAAATGGTACTCTTCGAGATTTCTGTCGGCAATCCTCAACTTTTCTCTTGCAAATGAGAGTTTGAGAAGAGGAGATACGATTATTCGGGCCTTGCATTTCGTTTTTATAATTGTTGACAATCGGTAAACATAAAATCTTCCCAAATTGAACATTTTAGTGTACAAGCTGAAGGAATATCGGGCAGAATTCACTGTACTTCGAAATTACAACCGCGGAAAAGCTGAATTATCCAAAGGGTTATCACAGCGTCGAGCGCGTTTTTCTTCGAGCCGCGGACGTCGTACAACGTTCAAAAAGCTGTCACTCAAAAACTAGCGATACTACCGCGACCAAAAAATTTGAGAATATAATTTGAACATTCTAGAACATTGTCTTCCTTATTAGAACTGAATATCTCGTTTCTAAGCATATCGAATTAACTGTTAATTCCACTACTTCGAAAAAGAAAACGTGGCTCAGCGTGACAGCAGACGGTTAACTTCCTCTGCGATTCTTTTTTTTGTAAAGAAACCACGGCACGCATCGCAGTCACATTCACCAGGTTTATTTATACGCGTTCGACGTCGTTAAAAAAAATGGTTTCGGTTAAATAAGAAGAATAAACACGATGTCAATGGTCACGCGACGGAAGTTTTATAAGCGCGACCTCACGGAGCTCGAGTCGTCTTATGCGTTACTTTTTATCATAGAAAAGGCCGCCGCTCTTTCATTAGCAAGATGTAATTACTGGATCATACGTAGGCATAGAAACGAGCAAACGTTTCCTTTTTCATTGTCGGAATTATTCGAATTGGAAACGTTGTAATTATCGTAACTGTGACGATAATTAATTAATTCGCTGCGTGTCGCAGGATGTTCGCAAGACGAACGAACAAGAAAAATGAAGGCGCGCGTATGAGAAATCTCGTTTCCGGAGCGGCCACTAAAAATCAGGCTGTCCATCAGACCAAGGTCCGGCGATATGTCATCGTTAGAGCCCCCGTTATTTTCCACGGGGTCAGATATCCGCTCGTATTTGCGGCCCCGTGTTATCCAGTATTGAAATGTCGTCGTGTGTGTCCGAGGAAGCACCTCGGGTAAAGGAAAGGAAAGGTGGGATTATCTGAATACAGTCGTTCCAAGGGTGAGTTGCGACACCCCGGGGGGCAGTAGGTGGCCGCCCTCGAACAGTCTTCGCCCCCACCGCCGACCACGTGACGTATAGTGGTCATTCCAGCACCGAATTACCACCATCTTCTTTCTCGGACTGTTCGAAGGGCTTCGGATAGATTATTTGAATATCGAGCTTCACCCTGTTCCATGGGAACCGGGAGGCATGCTGCTGGGGTTGATGACCCGCCATGTGTCACCATGATTGGTCCTGGTTTAGCATAATTCGGATTGGTAACGGGGTGTCTGCGATATCTCGAAGATCGCGTTCTGTCCCCTCGGTTTAATCAGGTTAATCAGTTCCCTGCCTCTGCATACGGGTTTCTCGAAATTATGGGGGCCGCTGGGGATTTAGGCGGACCTCGAACTTTCCTGGTTTATGGTTATTAATATTCCTGATGATATTTGCTGTTTTTCTGAAGAATATATTTATTGGGGTACCTTTTGTGCACAGTATAAATTTTAAATGGGGCGTCTTGATTTAAATATTATTTATAATAATATATAATAATATATATAATAATATATATTAAGAGATAATCATATATATAATAATATATATTAAGAGATAATCATATATATAATAATATATATTAAGAGATAATCATATATATAATAATATATATTAAGAGATAATCATATATATAATAATATATATTAAGAGATAATCATATATATAATAATATATATTAAGAGATAATCATATATATAATAATATATATTAAGAGATAATCATATATATAATAATATATATTAAGAGATAATCATATATATAATAATATATATTAAGAGATAATCATATATATAATAATATATATTAAGAGATAATCATATATATAATAATATATATTAAGAGATAATCATATATATAATAATATATATTAAGAGATAATCATATATATAATAATATATATTAAGAGATAATCATATATATAATAATATATATTAAGAGATAATCATATATATAATAATATATATTAAGAGATAATCATATATATAATAATATATATTAAGAGATAATCATATATATAATAATATATATTAAGAGATAATCATATATATAATAATATATATTAAGAGATAATCATATATATAATAATATATATTAAGAGATAATCATATATATAATAATATATATTAAGAGATAATCATATATATAATAATATATATTAAGAGATAATCATATATATAATAATATATATTAAGAGATAATCATATATATAATAATATATATTAAGAGATAATCATATATATAATAATATATATTAAGAGATAATCATATATATAATAATATATATTAAGAGATAATCATATATATAATAATATATAATAATATAAATAATATATAATAATATATAATAATTTATAATAATTATTATTTATAAATAGCACGAGTAAACATTGAAACTCTATATTGATAAATAAGTTTACAAGCATTTTTGGAAATTCATTGGTTTATGAAGGCTGTTAACCAATGCTATGCATTCTCTAAAATGCATATTTTAAAATGCAATATCTTTCTCCTAGAATAATTATTTTTAAAGGGAAATTTGTGCTGTAAAAGTTTCTCTGCTAGTAACAACGGCACATTGTTAAAAATTTAATAACGTTGAGCACTCTTCCGAGAGTTTATTGATTTAGAAGCTCCACAAGAAATAATACAGTATATCCTCCAAGGTTAAATTATGACATAACAATATTAACGTGCAATACTTGAATGTCTCTTCATCTGTTAAAATACATTTTCCTAGACAGTAAAATCATCTGCTAAAGTAGTTGTGAACCCTAGTATACCATTAACAGATGAATGTATTCGACGCAATACAATTGCAATGGTCTGTACCCTCCGCAACCTTAGGGTTCCTTTTCACTCCCAATCAATGACCAATATCAAAATTATCATGGAACATAAAACTCAAGTTCCCAATAATATATGTTGAATAATATTTTCCTACACAGTAAAAACAGCCTTTGAACAGGTGAATTTACCCCGAATAAAATTGAAGAGGCTGGCTGTCCCTTTGGGGGTCGATTGCATCATTAAATGGTGACTAATAACAAAATTACCATCGAATATAAAAATCAAGTTTCCAATAATAAATGTTAAATAATATTTTTCTACACAATAAAACCAGCCTTTCTTTTTTTTTACCTCGAATGAAATTGAAATAGCCGACCGCCCCTTTGGGGGTCGATTGCACCATTAAACAGTGACCAATATCACAAAATTCTCATCGTATATAAAAATCAAGTTATCAATGGCAAACATTAATTAACATTTTCGTATGCTGAGTAAAAACATCCCTCAAACGGAAGAAGTCACCCCTAATCAAATTGGGGCGATCCACGGCAACAAACTTCGAGGTGTTTTTCACCCCCGGCCGGTGACCTCCAGCAAAATTCGCCACGAATATTTTTATCAGGTTACCGGTAATGAGTTCGCAAAAGATCGGTGTACCTGTCGGTTCTCAGGGTCGCAAAGTAGATTAAGGGGAGGGGGGAGGTTCGGTGTCAGGCCAGCCGGCAGTCCATCATTATACTGTCAGACACGGTGGAGATAAGTCGCGGCGCGTCGCTCCGGTGAAATTCTTTTTGGGCCTTGCGTCTATCATTTTTACGAGAAAAAGGCTAAGTTTCCCGGTCGGTTTTATAACGCGACGTCACTAACGAGGCACCGTTGCACTTTTTGTTCCAGCCAGCGACGCGCTCGGCCGAATCGATAAGGAGGAGCCAGCCTCGCCGGAATCCATACAAGGTGAGTTTGCACAGAGTTTCATCGTCCGTCTGTCGTTCGCTTCTCTCTCCTTCCTCTCTTCTTCTCTCTTTCTCTCTCCCTCTGTTCTTCTCTCTTCCTCTCTCTTTCTAGCTCTCTCTCTCTCCTTCTGTTCTTCGCTCTTTCTCTCCTTCTGTTCTTCGCTCTTTCTCTCTCTCCCTCGCTCTCGCTCTGTTCTTCTCTCTTTCTCTCTCTCTCACTGTTATTCTCTTTCTCTCTCTCTCTTTCTCTCTCTTTCTCTCTCTTTCTCATTTCTCTGGTCTCTCTCTCCGTCTTTTCGTCCCGCGATACGATTAACGTACCGAAGGGCTTAACCTTCGCCGATGGCAGGAACATAAATTTCACAAACGAATAATACGACACGGCGGACTTGAGCGAAAGCCGAAGTATCGGCATTATAAATCCGCGTCGTTATTTCTTCGCCTCCTTTTTGCCGGCGACCACGGGAACCGGCGTCGTTTAATTGCAACGATGAGCCTGTATCGTGCGCAGAAAATCGTCCGGAAAGGAAACGACTGATTGAGAAATTTTCAGACGGCGAAGAAGAAAGACAGAACGCACCGGGATTTTATTAATCGGGCCCTGTCGACGAGGCTGCTCCTCCGAACCGTCGAGACGCTCCTTTTCTGAGCGAAAAATCTGAAACGTCGAGCGTCGTTAGGCTCGACGGACTTTTTAATGGCCGACGATCTCGGTTGCTGCGGGCGCCGCGATTCTCGTGGTTCGCAAAATTCGGATCGCTTCCGGGAATTAATCGAGTTCAGGAAACGCGAGAAATATATGTAGAGAATCGGCAATTGGTCAGCAGTAATTGGACGATTAGATGTTTACGCGAGACAGAAATTATTTGGCTTGAAAATAAAAATCGTGCGGTTGCTTTTATTTTTAACGATTTATTAGATATATTACGAAAAATAATTGAAACCAATAATTGAAATTTTTCGAATACTAAATGGACGAAAAGTCGAGTGCATTGAATGATAAGAACAATCGTATGCAGAAAGCGACAAAAATGAAATAAAAATCAAATAAAATCTGCAGAAAATGAGAAAAAATCTAATGCAACGAAAATATCCCAAGTCAGAAAAAAGGTATTCGCTAAAAATAGCGAATCTTTCCGATGAAGTCGGTAGAAATCTAATGAAGAATGCAAAGTAAAAGTTGCACCGCGGACTGGTAGGGAACAAAGCTTCGCAAAATACACAAAGGGAGCAGCCCACGGTCGCTGAGTCCTGCAGCATTGTGTCCCCTCCCCGGCCAATCCGTTTCCACGTAAAATATGTCATAAAACCAATTACACTTGGCGAGCACCGCCCACCATCTTGGCTCAGCGCGGCGGTTTGTCATTTGCCTCGGCGGATTCTTTCGCGGTGTATAACCGGCCTTTTAACTTCGGGCATTATCCGCCGGCCTTGCCCCACTCGGGCCGCCATGATTAGACCGCGGATCATTATGCAAAATAAAAGTGTTCGAGGACGATTGCTTGAGAAACTGGATCCGCGAGGCAAATTTATGTTCATTCTTTCCGTTAGTTGCTACCGTTCGGTCAATTCTTGCGACAAAATGGCGGCAGCTCGCAGAGAATTCTGGCGGAGCCATGACACAATTTTTGAATCAACGGTGAAACGTTGTGGAACGAGGGAAAAATAAGGAAAATTAGTAACAGATGTGGTTTGACGTCGGAAACATTTATTGAGGTTGTACGAAGATTTTAGAATTGTTTCAGATTCTGCATTTGTGCACGAATTTTGTTCTTGATATTACGATTTGCCATTTTTTATCAATTTTGCAATTGTGTTGTTACAATTTACGTCTAATTGCTTCATGTACTAATACAGGTTCGATTCCATTTTTATCTTATTTTCGAGTCATTTTTTGAGTAATTTTTTAATTGACGAAGGATTCCTTTCTTCGATTCTAATTTTTGTAGAATTGTTTATTATTTTATAAAACATCTACTATTTTTTAAAATGTCTACTATTTTTTAAAATGTCTACTATTTTATAAAGTATCTACTATTTTATAAAATGTCAACTATTTTGTTATAACTATCTACTAGTTTATAAAACGTCTACTGTTTTATAAAATATCTACTATTTTATATAACATCTACTATTTTTTAAAATGTCTGATATTTTATAAAATGTCTAATATTTTATAAAATGTCTACTGTTTTATGAAATGTCTACTGTTTTATGAAATGTCTACCATTTTATAAAACGTCTACTATTTTACAAAACGTCAACTATTTCGTTAAATTGTCTACTACATCGGCGTTTGCCATGGAAATGAACGCTGCCGATTCCCATTGTACGTCCAATCCGACAATATCAAGGAGATAGCGCGTCTCGGGTTGCTCGCTGATTTCAGACAGAAATTGACCGCCGTTTACCAGCCCGATTTTTCAGAAAGTCACGATCCACGTACGTGGAAGACGGGAACGAGACGCGCCGCGCCGCTCTGATCCGCTCGTTAATGTCCGGCGTCTCCGTCATTACAGTCCACGGCGACGTAGATCCCCGACGTGTTACGCTCGGCGACACGTGACAGCCGTTCTCTAGATTCTAGACGACGCGAACCGTCAGCAGAATCGCTGGCAAGCGCGGAGAGGCAAAGAGGGTCGACGGTTCTCACGCGAGCCTAAATTATCCGACACAGGAATCCTCGTCGCGTGAGAAGTTTCCGTCGCCCCCGGAATTTTCGCGATCGCCGCAGCAGGACTTTTCCTCCAGCGGATTCGATGCTCGCATTCGGTGACGTTCGATCGTTACACCACTTAGATGCGGCGAGGAAAAGTTTTTTTTTAGATTGAAGCTGGAGTGTTGCAGATTATGAGAAAAATAGGGGGATGGAGTGAGAATATTTATAAAAGTTGACGGTTCGAAGCTGATTGTAGGTGACGTTAGATGATTCTAGCGATGAGTTGCAGTGACGAAATATTTATAGATTGAAACTGAAAGCTTGCAGATTGTGGGTAAAATTATAATATTTGAATATTATTATAAATTATTATTCGGTCATTGTAATGTTGGGTCTCTTTTTTTGGTAGATTCAGATTTCTGTAGATTTTAGTTAAGTACGTAATTGTTCCATTAGACGAATTTTTCTATGGAAATTGCAATTGAGCTTCTTCTATTATTATATTCAGTATGCAAAATTTGCTTAAAATCAACTAAATGCGAGTGGGGTGAAAGAGCACTCAATATCGTGCATCTCAACTCTTTTACCCTGTCAATACTGAATTTATTTAAACTTTCTAATATTATCATTATAATGCATGCTAGAATTCAGAATGTTATTCCAACAAAATTTATTCCTGCAAAAGAATCAGTGCAGTTCAGCAATCAACTGTATCAATGCAGTTCCAAAAATTTTAAAACGAAAGTATGTGTATGTGTTTCATTTAATACTATGTGTAGTATTAAATGAAACTGGTCAGAATTTATGTTAAATAAAAATATCGAGATTTATTATTGAATAGAAATTTAGTGTAAAATTTGGTGTTAAATAATGTTGTTCAAATGTGGCGTTGAATAAAACTAGTCAATTTTAGAGTTGAATGAAATTGTTCAGTGTTAAATAATATTGTTCAAATTTATTGTTGAATAAAACTAGTCAATTTTAGACTTGAATAAAATTGTTCAGTGTTAAATAATATTGTTCAAATTTAGTATTGCATAAAACTGTTCAGATTTAGCATTGAATAAAAATTGGTGTCGAATAAATTGTTCAATTTTTCCGGTACTTGTCAGACAGCAGATTAAAATGCCAGAGTGTTCCGCCACGTTTCGTAATTTCATGGAGCGAAGACAAATTGAATTACACCCTCAGCTTTTCCACCCCTTCGCTTTCTCGCGAAGGCCTACGTTCGGCACCTGCCGCGGTGGAAATTGTACCTGCACGCACAGTTCCATCCTATTTCGCGTAAGAAGTCGGTCGAAGAGGAGGAGGACAGTAAAAGAACGTGAAAGAGAGGGTGAAAGAGGGACGAAAAATGGAGCGGGTGGCGTGGTGGCGCTAGGCGATCGGAAGTGTGTCAAATTACAGAGGTCCGTGATATTAATGACTCCTAATGACATACCTCACCCCCTTCGTCCTGGGTCCGGTCTTCCACCGGGTTAGCTCGGCTCCCCACCAATCCGAGGTCCGATTTTCTCCTACCCGGCGACGACCGGGCCCCACTCTCCTTTCGGTCCCTCGACCGAACCGCTGCACCGGACCCGATTCACGGAATCGGCATTAAAGATACAATTACTAATTGACGGAGGCTAATAGCAATAAGACAAACAATGGGGCTAAATGCTATAAAGTAAAACACAGGTCGGCCCATGAAGCCAACCCCTTCCCTTGCTTCGCCCGCTGCGGATGATCGTTCGCTGCTTCTCGGTTTCGCCCACTTCGTCTTTTGCGGTCGTAGACAGTCATGGGTAAAAATATTTCAACTAAGAAATACAAATATTTGCGGACACACCGTTCCACTCTCGGCTGTGCTCTGCACGCGCTGCTTCGTTTGGAATTGTAATTTATTTCTTGTACCTAATGAAATACTGGTTGATTGGCTTCGTTGATTATACAAACATATAATAAGTAGTCAATTATGAGGAATAGAGATCGAATGAAAATTAAATGTACCTTGTAATTGTTTTATTGAGCCAACAGTAGCGCAACGACGGTCTTAAATTCTTCCAATATCTCCACAGTAGTATTACATTACGCTTATATATACATTTATTGCGAATGCTTAAAATCCGCAGTCTGATAATTAGTATTAAAATACATATTTTACGATATGAAGATGAAGTAGTTAAATGAAAGAAATATTTTCTTTATTGGGCGTGAAATGTGAGACACTTGATTATTATTTCCTGATAATATTATTTGAGATATGTACTTTGTTGAATAGAAGCAGATATTAAATGTTCCTGTTTAATTCATTAATTAAGAGAAATATGAGAGAAAGCTTATTTATAGATTATATTTAT